AGGTGCTCCCAAAAGTATTCTATTGGATTCATGTCAGGAGTTTGGGCTACCCATGGCAGTGACGATTCTGTGCGATTGCTTCCAGGCTTTTGCTACTTTACTCGTATGACATGGCGCTCCATCTTCTTGAAAAGAAGGTAAACATTCTTGTCAATCTGATTGCTTTCAAATAGTGGGAATAGTTCTTCCTCTAATATTTGACATTATTTTGGACCAATAAACCACTTACAAACATGAATCAGCTCAGATTTCCCTGCAAACCAGACCGGACGTCACATCATTACTCCAATCCCTCCATGTTTAACAGTCGCCTGCAGACATTCAGTTCCAAGTTTCATTCTGATTGGTCCAAACATAAACCTGTCTCGAATTCGAATACTGTCAGAATTTACTTTCTTCTGACCAAATTAAAGACTGCCAAAATTTATAATCTTTGCTCTCGAATTCTTCCGTACAGTCCATACGACTGTTTCTGTTAACGTCTTAAATCAAGGGCTTCTTTGATAGCTTAGCTCTTTCAGAGTTTTTCACCGCATATGTCGACTTTTTCATGTTGGTGACATCTTTGACGCTCTGACGTCAGTGTCTGATGGCTTCCTAGTTCAGCGGCCTTTTTGTTCGCCCAGACACGATGCTTGATCTTCCTGAACATTGTTTCACACAATTGTTTACTTCATTAAAATTCTTGACAATCTTATTAACTGTTTGATGATTACTCTTGAAAAACTTAGCAATTTCTCTATTTGACTTGCCACACTGATGCCATCCTATTATTTATCCTTGTTGAAATTCAGCAATTTACTTACTTCCGCGAACCTTCATTGCAAAATATGTCAAATATGGTTCATAGATGAAAGTAGCTTAATACTAACGCGGTATTCTCTGAAGAAAAAAAAGAGACGTTGTTACAAAAGCCATAATCAAGGGAGGCTAACATCTTCTCATAGCCCACTGTATGCTGAATGTCACACAATATTTTACACATTTATAAGTATTATATTTTCTGCTAGTCAAGTTTTTTGAATTCTCATATACTTGTATTTTGATTGGTCATTCCAGCTTATGTAACAACGTTTCCCCTAGCGAGGGGTGATTGATTGATTAGAACCCTCACTTGATAAGACACCAGAAACAAAAAGGCATGAATCTTCTTCTTCTTCTTCCCCAAGCTATGGGTAATTAGAAAGACAGGCTAGGTATTGGATGGCGACTGGTCTGAATTCAAAATGTTTACGAACCTTGTGGCACGTAGTACACCTTGTCTCTGTAATCATCCCTTCAAAAAATGTCTTTGCTTTTGCACAAAAGCTTTACCATAATCAAATCATATGTGCTGGTGTCTAGCTGTCGGTTCCTAGGGACTGGGTTGCTGACCCTCATACGACAGGGAGTTCACCATATATATATATATATATATATATATATATATATATATATATATATATATATACACCTAGTAGTTAGACAAACCTACCTAGGTTTCACCTAAACGGATCGTCAGGAAAGCTTTCCTTGACGATCCGTTTAGGTGAAACCTAGGTAGGTTTGTCTGGCTCACTAGGTGTATCTAGGTTTGCTCTACGATTGTATTGAGCTCTTTTTGTTAGTTAGTTGTTACTCGTATCAGGGTTTTTTTTTCTTTGGGCTTCAGACCTGCATCTGTGCGATTTTTTGTCGGCAGAAGTTCATGTTTGTAGCTCTTTCTTTTTTTAAACCTTTTTTCCTCGAAATTGATTTGATTAACAAATCAAAAATTCGAGTCTAGTTATTTATATATATATATATATATATATATATATATATATATATATATATATATATATATATATAACCTCAGATTATTTAAATATGTGTTTGTACGAACTAAATGCATAGACCTTTTTATGTATATGTCTCTCTCTCTCTCTCTCTCTCTCTCTCTATATATATATATATATATATATATATATATATATATATATATATATATATATATATATATATATTATCTTGTAATAGTGATAAATGTATAAGTGCAACATAAAAGAAAATGCATGCTTCGAGTTCTGAAACTTGTTTATGAAACATAATAGACAGCATCTCAAATAGCATACCAGATGTCATCACTGATAGTAAATTATCTTCTGCCAATATAAACCTTAGTCTTCAAAACGTTCTACACGTTTTAAATCGGATTAAGTTTGGATGAACAAATCAGCTACATTCACCATATATTTGTCTTCGATATCCGTTTTGTTGGCGCACTTATATTTTATTACCGAATATGAAAAGGATAAAAATCTTCTGTCTGAAACCGATTCACTTCTTGAAAGATGGTTCCACGTTAGCCTTCAAAAACAATAGTTGTCAGCGGTGTTAACACCAGCTGTAAGTATCCATGAATTCACCACTTCATTACCTATAATGCCATCACGATATATCACCACACATCCTTTTGATGTGTTACCCTTAAGTGAAGGCTACATTGAGTAGAACCCCGAGCATTTTACAATTTTCAGCGATATATTCCAATTACAGTCTGAAAACGTGTATTTATTTGAGACTTCGAAATTCAGTATATTTCATACAAATCACTTCCGTTTGTTCAAAATTTGTAGAACTGGATTTTATTTCAAATGCATAGGCTTACGGCCATATCATGTTGAAACGCTGGTTAACTTAAGATCTCCAAAGTTACGTAACGATGTGTCTGGTCAGTAGCTTTCTGGGTTACTGCTTGGGAATACAAGGTATTTTAATCTTGGATGTGTGAAGTAATGGACATTGGCTTGTTAATTGGAGAGCCGATTTCCGATTCGTTATATTTACTTACGCGCAAATACCCTTTGGAAAGGCAATAATCCACATCTTCTCCTCCAGCTATGGGTAAATTTTTAAGAATTGTATCAATAAATCATTGTTGTTATTTAAAAAAATAAATCTAAAATATTTTCAAAACTGCAGAAGGTTGATTATCTGTAGAAACCAATCTAATTACACAGCTGGATGTAGCGATCAATCAGGAAGTGAAACATCAACTTCCAATAAGCATTTTATTTATATATCGATAAGACACGAAGTTGATAATTATTGTATACACAATGTATAACTATAATGGTTACAGTCAATTAAATAGACAATTTCTTCATAATGATCAAAAACTTTTCTACTTTGGGAAGAATCTACTGTTTACATGTTGTTTCCATCATTTGCAAACAACTTTTTTTTTGTTTTACAGTAATGTGCAAGTCCCAGGGGCCACTTGAGGTACAGACTTACAGAGAAAGAAGCACAGTTGATATGGATATATGAGGAAGATAACGATTAGCCCTAGATTTGAAGAGATTAATTTTCTAGTGATCAGGAAAACGTCCTCTTGGCATTCAGTTCCACATAGCAATGGTTCGCCTGAAGAAGCTGCTCGTGTAGAACTTACTTCTCACAAATGAGGGATATGAAAGTGGTTTACTACAATACACGTAGCGCCGCGGGTCTTAATCGTGAAGGTTAGAAGTGGTGGAAGTAAGGGATTTTTTTTTCATTTGAACATTTTCCACGGAAATAACGACAGGACAGTGAGAGCCTTGCTACATTTCGACTGTGAGAATGGAGTTGTAGGCTGGGAAATAATTTATCACCAACAAGGACGCGTAAGCGCTTTTGGATTTTATCGACACTTTAGCGTTATTTTGGCTAGGGCTACGTAAAAAATGAAAAAAATTTAAAGAAAGTGTATAAATAAAAATATTTTGTTGACTTTCACATCTTAATTCAAAATAAAATGTCTACCTTTTTCAGAATAAAAAAAAAATTCTTATAAAATTTTATTCCATGTTAGATATTTAATAACCTTCTCTTTACAACATGTCAAGTATATAGTAAATGCAAATGGAATGGGATTTATTCAAGATACTGTGTATTTAATTTTCGGAATGTCATATTTCTGTTAATCTGCCATCGACTGGAATGGATATGTTAATAGGAATTTTAAGTTCACTGAACAAATTCTGCAGTTTGTTGTCAAGTTCAACATGATTGCATTCGTTTTCCGAATGCGATGATTTCTTTAAAGAGAGAGAGACAGAGTGATTGAGTGGGAGAAAGAGACTTTTAACGTTTTCACAGGTGTCCACAGGAAAAAAGAAAATCAAACGGATATTTGCATACTTTTCTTGAAAGTAAGTCGACCGTACGAGGTTATCAGCAGGGACAATGAAGACGTCGAACCGTTCGGATTCCAACAGAGACTATTTATATTCACTTTGCACTAATGTGTTTGCGAAAGACATAAGTCCACTGCGCTCAGGCATTTCAAGATATCTTAGCAAATCTCTCGCTGCTGGCATTCTACGATGGTTATCGGAGATTATAATGAGCGATTTGGCAAACAGAGATTCATATTGAAGAAAAATGGAGGCATAAAATTATGATAGGTTGTAAAATCAATTTATCGTCTTTTTGTATTATAAGAAATCAATGTCGCTAATAAGGAAAAAATGAGTTAGAAATTCTTTATTTTTTTAAAGCTAATGTTCAGTAGTTTTAAAATCACCTCGATTACTTGACGTTTTATTTACTAAATAAATAATCGAAAACACTTAAACCAGACATTTTAAATATTTAAGAAATGTTAAAATCGTAACACGAGAAAACCAGTTTTAATTGTTAAAAATTGATTTTATAAAAATAAAAAAAATCACAATAGCAACAATGACGTAAGGAAAGAAGCAACCTAATTTCTAATTGGATGGTTCTGGTGGTTGGAGAGGAATTAACACTTAGTCAGAGAATTGAGGAAGATGTATGAAATGAAGGTGACATTATTGCTAAATGGAAATGTCCCCGCTAAGTCTAGGGAAACAACAATAAGAAAAAAAAGGATATCGGAGGAAGAGAAGCGACTATGAAGATGACAGCATTACTGAAAAATATCTGAAAAATTAATGAAAATAATAGAGTATTGTGGCAAGATTGATTTCAGTTGATCTTCAGTGTATGACATTGATCTTCAGTGTATGACACTAGATGATAGTATAAAAAAACTCAATTATTAACACAGTTACACTTTTTCTTCTGAGAAGACTGAGGACGGTTTTGAATAAAGGGAAACGCTGGAGAAAACTGTTTTGGAGAAAAGGGAAGGGTGGAAAAAACTGTTTTGGAGAAAGGGGAAGGCTGAGGAAAACTGTTTTGAAGAAAGGCAAATGTCCGAGAATGCTGTTTTGAAGAACGATAAAGGTTGGAGAAAACCCTTTTGGAGATAGGGAAAGGCTGGAGAAAACTGTTTTGAAAATAGAGAAAAGCCGGAGAAAACTGTTATGAAGAAAGGGAAATGTTCGAGAAAGCAGTTTTGAAGAAAGATAAAGGTTGGAGAAAAACTGTTCTGACGAAAGGGAAATGTTCGAAAAAGCTGTTTTGAAGAAATATAAAGGTTGGAGAAAACCCTTTTGAAGAAAGGGAAAGACTGGAGAAAACTGTTTTGAAGATTGGGAAAAGATGGAGAAAACTGATCTGAAGAAAGAGAAACACTGAAGGAAACTGTTCTGAAAGATAAAGCTTGGAGAAAACTGTTTTTCACATATGGAAGTGCTGGAGAAAACTATTTTTGCAGATAGGGAAGTGTTGAAAAAACTGTTTTGAAGGAGGAAAAAGCAGGAGAAAACTGTTTTGAAGAAAGCGAAAAGCTGGAGAAAACTGTTTTGAAAAAGACAAAGTTTGGAGACAGGCGTTTTGAAGAAAGGGCAAGGCTGAAGAAATCTGTTTTGAAGAAAAGGATAATCCGGAGAAATTGGAAATCAGGGGGATATCAGAATGATACTGGCAATCGCGTTACTGAAAACGGCTAGAATACTAAGGTGTATGCTGGAATAGTAAGGAGAATTGTTGTCATTTAGTCTCATGTATAGATCACCAGTTATTTTCATTCGAACACTCAATAATTTGAGCCTTGCCAGGAAAATGAAGGAAATATTGAATATGAACATAAGCTTTGTTCCAATAATTGTTGAAGAATTGTGAATATGTTTTTAAATATCACAGCCTGGAAAGAATCGATGTCACGTAGACGATGATTCTAGACAATGATACTAGACACTAGAGTAAGAACTAGAATACTGATGAATGTCCTGGAATAGAGACATGACTTATGAACATCAAGACAAAAGAATGGGTTGAACATTCAATGATTAGAGGAATAAGAAAATTTAGTAAGAAGAATGATACAATATTGAAGAGACGGTGCTACATATTCTTCACGACAACTAACCTCAATATTTTATAATAATAATAATAATACACATTTTCTTCCGGATCCCAACCAGAGACCTAAGGTCAGAAACAGCTTCAGGACATTGTCCAGTGAGAATTTTTGTAAAAAAAAAGTACAATTTTTTTTTGTATTTCTTTAAGATATGGTCTACCAGGAATCCCTTGAATGAGTCTATCGGAATCTTTTTTCAAACAAGCCGAATGTTCCAACTAAAACTAGAATTAATGATGTCCTTATGTGTCACATGTTTGACATTTTCATTTCAAGATCCTTGTACTTAGAGAGATTTTTTTTTTGCATATCTTCAAAGACACATTACAGTCTGCAGATTAGTTTGTGTTTTGTTTTGTCTGTGTGCTTTATGAAGCCCCATATAATTGTTACAGGTCCTATGTCTGTAACCGGGTCTGGGGAATATTCATACCAGATTCTGACAGTGTTCTTCCCGTTAAAGTTGTATATTTCCCGGTGAAGATATTGGCTCATTCTATTATGCTGTTTTATGTTCAATGGGTGCTAACACTCTGTAACCTGATACAAGATGGTCAATTGTTTTTGAATGTTTCTCACTGAATCTACGTTTGACGTCAAAACATTTTTCAGGATGTGTGATTGGTAATTTCTATATAGCAAGAATTGATCCTGTGCAGCAAGAATAAAACATTCAGTTAGAGCTTTTAGCACTGCACTACGTAAAAACTCATGGGAACGAGGTTTTTCTACACCAGCTTTGTTGGGTACGGGCACAGTATTAAAAATGAAGGGTTTTATCGGCATTTGGCACATTGCATTTGCTTTGGCAATTTCCTCTTAGCAGCAAGAATAAAACATTATTATTATTATTATTATTATTATTATTATTATTATTATTCGGGTATTATTATTCGGGTAGTATGTATCATGTAGAGCCGGATGAAAACCTTGGTCCTTCGGTCCTGTAGGAGAATTGTCATTTAATTGGCAGCTCTTTTCTTAGTATATGGGATGTTCCTAGTAGGGCAGTCGTCTGGGCAACTTTTATGTTGATGCTACTTGGGAAACTGTTTAGTAAATTTGTCCATTCCTTCTTTCGCGAGGCCCAGAGAAGTCAAAAACCTCTACATTACCAATAGAAGTAAAAATGATGATTTAGATCAATTCGCAAGGACCACTGGTTAAGTAGTCCAGGACGTAAGATTGAGACTTCTGCCCCCCCACACCCCACCGCGGTTTATTCTTGATATAGAGGCGCACATCCTACGTACAAGCCAAGCAAACGTATTGTATAAATGCACGAACCCAAAATATAGATTCTGTGACTAATACGTTGAAACTATAGATCGTCAATTTGGTTGTATTTAATCTATTGTTCTGAAAATTGGATTTTATATTCCTTTTTTGTCATTATTAACAATAAAATACTTGGCATCATACGGGCATTACATTCTGAGAAATGGATCAAAAATATTCAAAATTAATGGTTGTACGAATAATGTCGTCGTTGTCTCTCTCTCTCTCTCTCTCTCTATCTATATATATATATATATATATATATATATATATATATATATATATATATATATTAAAAAGAAGAGAGAGGTGCCGCTAACGTTTTTGGTTGTAATGTGGATTTATTTAGAAAAAATATTATGCTTTGTTTTACATAATTTTACGACACGTGTTTCTGGTCTCGCGACCGTCTTCAGGTAAAAGTGGAGATTTCTACATATTATTAAAAATAATTAATTTTTCTTCATGTTCAATGTGAAATATTCTCGATATGAGACATTCTCTGTTTGTGTGTTGGTAATCCGATATATGTATGGAGGGGAAATATACGCACGCATATATACACGCATGCTGACAGGAACACACCAAAATGGAAACAGATCCAAGAGCACATAGGGGTCACTAAAACATTAAAAGATAAAATGCCGATAACTACTCGCTGGACCAACCTTAATTGTTTTATGACCCTTCGCACAGAACTCTTCATTGACAATTCTAGAAAGAAATTCGGATTACCAAGAATGAAAGGGGGACAACCCATATCGAGTTATACCTATTATAAAAACCCAGTTTTTTTTTTTTTTTTTTTTTTTTTTTGTGTGTGTGTGTGTGTGTGTGTGTGTGTGTGTGTGTGTGTTTATATGTTCGTTTATATATGGGATCGGATTTCTTACATTTTTCAACCGATTTCAACAAAACTTCACTTATTTTTGCAGGTAGTGTTTCTTATTTTTTCTTTTTTTTTTTACATTCAGAATGCTTTAAAAAATCCATTTACAAGACAATTGTTTATAATAAAATTCTATTCAATCGGTAGACTCATAACGATTGAAAACAATGTTTTGTTTGAGTTTGGGTTTGACCAATTCGTAAAAAAACTAATTAAGACATGCATGTCCGTCAACCTTAAACAATAAACTTTTGTCAATTTTATTTTTCAGTTTTTATGATGGTCGATACTTGATCTATCTCTTATCGTTACATCCCCGGGCAACGCCGGGCTCTCCTGTTAGTATATATATATATATATATATATATATATATATATATATATATATATATATATATATATATATTTATTTTACTATGAACGTTATTTTAGTGGCGACACATATTTCTGTTTGCTATCCCTGATTTTTGTATTTTATTAAAAGAAATATTTAGACGGCTTATTATTAATTTCAGTGTTCAATAAAATAAAAAAAATACGGTTACCCAACAAAAGTAAAAAGTATATATATATATATATATATATATATATATATATATATATATATAACGTTTAGCAGATAGTATTGCTAAAAATACAAACATCATCATCATCATCATGTCCACAGACAGAACCCAACTTAACCAACGTGGTGGTAGTGGGTCCAGATTAAAGAATGTGGATACGCGTTTCCATATATTTGTGCATGCATGAGTGAAAATGAGCTTCTTTGACGACGCGACCCGTCGATTTGAAAAACGTTAAGACCACCCCCACTTGTTCCTTGTTAAGGGAATATTGACACATATGTAACTGTACAGTCTACACACCGCAATAGAATGACAATCGCGTATATATGTATGTTCGAATGCATGGATGTTTATCTGCGCCTAACCTCAGTTTATTTATATGGGTGGGTTTGTACGAACTATGTATATGTGTCTATGTATGTGGGAGTGTCATCCCAAACAAACACAAGAGAAAATTTCCCCCCACCTCAACCACACACAAATAAGTATAAATAGATCCACTTTGGAAAAAATAATCAGTTTGTCTGATGATCGCAAAAGCCTGATGTTACAAACTAATATCCATGCAACTGAATATATATATATATATATATATATATATATATATATATATATATATATATTGAAAATTGAAAACGACAGACAAGGTGCTTTTATTTAGTTTTCTATACAATTTCTCATGCGATCTAATATTTTTTTTCTTTTCGGATGATCAATCAAAATTCGTAAATAATTATATAGGCCTCACTACAACATGTTTGACACGCAGACTCACTCTACACCTTTCTGGCAATAGCTCAATTAAATCTCATTTAAATATTCATGAAGACCTAAAGGACACTATTCGTAATATACTTGTTGACACCACTAATATAATAGCATCATCTACATACAAAAAAAGGCTAAAAATAATGGAAGCCTTATTAATGAAAAAAAAAAGCCAATACATAATAATATTAACTTTGAACATGGACATAATATCTTGACCGTGTTTTGAAAAAATGAAAACATTTTATAAAACATACATACAACAAACTCTTTCATATGTTAACAATTAAACTATAATCCTTGAAAATGGCTAAATGTATTGCCGAAAGCGCTTGGATAAAAGAACATTCGGAGAGTTTTTTATATAATTTATTATCCGAAAAGAAAAAAAATTAAATGAATAATAAAAGGATCTTGTCGTTTTGAATGAAATGTGCATAAAAGTAGGATTGCTGCCTAAATACACACACACACATATATATATATATATGTGTGTGTGTGTGCTGCGCGCGTGTGTTTTGTGTTTATGTGTGTTTTTGTGTGTATCATGCACAACTATATATATATATATATATATATATATATATATATATATATATATATATATATATATGCGATAAATATTATAGAAAATTATATATAAATATTTATATGCCAGGATAATATCTAGAAAATAAAGGACAAGATGGACAAAAACGTATACGCATTTTCTTCATTTAATTTATTCTGATCAAGTCGTAAATGACGAAACGCGTCTCACGGGAAAATTTTACATTTTGCATTGATGATCAATATTCTTTTCTGTTGTGATGCATACGCATTTTCGCTGACATTTTTCTTTCTCCATCTCCTTCTTCTAAACTGTCTGTTGTAATAACGCTGATCCTACTGTTGGTTGATTGGTCACCTGATATTTGCTTAAATGTGTTCGCTTGTTGATGGCAAGGAACGATCGAAATAAAAGTCATCAATAAATAGCAATCGACGGGCAAAAAAAATTTGATGCAATGGTCGATTCAGTGATGTGTAGAGAGAGGATCTTAAGATTGACTGTGAGCGAAAACACAGAGCAAATTGTTTTTCTTACCGTTTGCCATTTCGATAGAACATGCCTTCCTCAAAGAACATGCAAATATGATTCTTGTTTATGAAATGTCATCAGTGGCTGAGAAATCTCTGAAGGAAGGCAAGTGACCGTTTAGATGGCACGACGGGTGGGTGACGATTGGAAGGGTTGAAAAGCGGGATGTGAGGCAGGGGATTGTGTAAGAGAGGTGGTAGTGGAGTTGGGCCTTCCACTTTGGTTCCTGTTTCTGGGAAGAATAGCATTACTTGAATGTCGACATGACGCCGGTTTCGATGCGAAAGATGCCAAATGGAATGCCGATTTGAAAAAGGACACTGAACAATGTTCATTTGCTTCATTTCTCTCTTGTCATTCCAACAAAATTATAGAGTCTGTAAATACATGAGCATATTTATGCTCACAAGTAAGTAAATTCTAAATTCAAATATATATATATATATATATATATATATATATATATATATATATATATATATATATATATATATATATATATATATATATATATATATATATATATATATATATCATTTATGTACATCTTGTGAAACGAATATAATATATAAGCAAAATTATATTTTGTTTAAAACATTATATACATATATATATATATATATATAAATATATATATATATATATATATGTGTGTGTGTGTGTGTGTGTGTGTGGGTGTGTATGTATGTATGTATGTATGTATTGTTCAATTATTTTCTTACCGGCATAAATAAAAAATGAATACATATAATATTTGATTTCCCATATGGATTCTAGCTGTCATTTCTCTAATCTCTGTCTCCGTGCATTTCTCTCTTTTCACAAACACAAACACACAGACAGACAGAGCCGCACGCGACCATGTTAATGCATGCTCTCTCTCTCTCTCTCTCTCTCTATATATATATATATATATATATATATATATATATATATATATATATATATATATTTAGAAAGATAGGCAGAGATTGATAGAAGCATGTATGCAGATAATTATGAGTCTGTGGTATCAATGTATAATTAATTCAGATATAATCTTTTACTGGAAGATGGATAGGTAGATATGAACAGGCTGATATATATATATATATATATATATATATATATATGAACAGACTCAAATAGACAGATAGATATGAACAGACTGAGATGGATAGATATATAGACAGATAGATAGGAAAAGACTGAGATAGATATATATGAATAGACTGAAATAGCTCTATATATAGATAGATAGTTTTGAACAGACTGAAATAGTGATAGATAAATGTGTGTCCCTGATATTGGGAATTTGTCCGTTCAGTCTGTACTTTATATAGTTCACTTTATACTTATCTATCTTTGTCAGCTCATATCTATCTATCTATCGATCTATGTCTCTGTTTCCCTCTCTCTCTCTCTCAATATATATATATATATATATATATATATATATATATATATATATATATATATATTCGTATTGTTAGGTAGCAAATTATCTGCAAATCTCGCGATTTGTAATTACTCTCACGCATGGAAACGCGCTTCTAGCAAATGCCACCTACCGCTCTCTCTCTCTCTCTCTCTTTCTTACTCTTTACACCCTCATTAATATATCCATGTCATTATATATTTCTTTGGATTTAACAGACATATACAGATGAAATGACTTATTTAAATTCTCTCTTATGTGCGGTTGTTGAAAAGATTCACAAAAATTGCTTACATATCTGGCTGAAATTCAGTGTTCAGAATTCGAATGCGTCACTATTGATACGATTTTCATTTAGATATCTGTTCTCACATAAGCATTTCCAAATATGCTGGTTGCTTTTAAATTATGTCATTCAATGTTGAAATGTATCGATTGTTTACCATTTCAAGTTAGAGTTATGCAAGGATTGACTGATTTGTTCTTTTTTTTTTACGTCTTATCAACCATATTCGATGTCGGAATATATTCTTTGGATTGCAATAAGAATTCTTTTTTTTTTCATTTGAATATTGCATTAAGATTTTGTTGTAGATAACAGTGATTTAAAAAAAATACAAAACCTTCTTTTTTAACCCATAGTTGAGGAGAAGAAGAGATTAATATATACCTTTTCCAAGGTAATTCACGCGTAAATGAATTCTTCTAACTCGACTGAATTACGAACGCGGTTTTCCGACTTCTCATTCCAAATGGCTTTTACAACATCCACCCATTCTAGTGTCAAAGAGAAAGAAAATATAGAAAATTTAATGGAGACTTGGAAACAAATTTTGAAATAAATAACTCTTTATCTCTCTTTCTCTAGCTCAATTTTTTACTATCTCTCTCTCTCTCTCTCTCTCTCTCTCTCTCTGAATGAAAAATAGAAAAGGTGAAACTGTAAAAGGAGTAGTAATGAAAAGAAAAGGTAAAAAAATATCAAAAGAAAAATGTTGCAAAAGAAGAAGAAGAAAAAGAAGGTATCTATCTATATTTCTGAGATGAGGTATTGTAACAATTTAAACTATTTACATTGTTCGGATTATTGTCCTCATCTTTATTGTTATATTCACGACGTTTCAGCCGTGGTACTCTCCGGCCTTCATGTGGTATACTTTGGTATTTCGAATCGAAACTTTTATTTCGTACACCGGTGTAGATGTTTCTAATTCCACATGCCATGTCTTTTCTGCTTATCTCAGTTGCAGTTAACTCCCTTTTAGTACTTATCTCTCCCAGTTTTTGTTAATCTCTGCTATGACCAGATATTGAACTGGCAAGGCACTGGATTACCTCAATCAACGTTTTTATCCACTAAGCTTAGTGGATAAAAACGTTGAGTGTAAATAGAAGAAGTACTGAATAACAAACAATAAAAAGTCATTTTTTGAAGAAGTATGAATAGAATAGAATGAGAAATATGAAGAAAATATGTGAAATAACAAGAAAAATAATGAAAAAGAACTAGACGAAAAAGATTTCTGTGAACATTCAAGCACCTTCCCTTCTCGTGTCGTTTGTTTACTTAATCTCCATGTACTTTATCGTCTTCTTCCTTCTTTGCCACCATCTAGAAGAAGATCTAATCACATTACTACGCATCTTACCAATGATTGTTAATTCCTTCTTCTAGTAAAACGCCGAAAACACCTGGGTACAAACTTACTCGTACACTTCAAAATAACAGACAATTCTCACAGAATATCCACTATAGGGTGGAGAAAAAATAAAATTAAAAAAAAATAAAAACTTGGATAGTAATTTCGTAAAGCCATTTCAAATAAACCAATTTCAAATAAATTCTAAACCATTTTGATTCCAGGAATTGTCGATTCCATGATCACCGCAAGATATCAATACCGGCTGAAAATTGAAACAAAATGACCCGACTCAACTCCAATAAGATTTACCCTACTGAAATTTCATATCATGTATGTGTATTGATTGGATATCTGGGAAATGGCGTCAGGGATGCTACAAAAACATGGAACGGAAGGAGCGAAATTCCGGTTGACATTTCTTGATGGAGAAACAAGAAAACAACAAAGACAAAAACTGAAGGGTAATCAGGTATATGGAAAGGTCTGACATTTTAATAAATTCCATTAGGAGAATTTTGCAACCTTCATCTTTTACAGAAATTCAATGACGCTCAATTCAACTAGTTATTTATTATTATTATTATTTTTTTTTTGCCTGCAATTTTTTTTTTATGAACAGTGAATGTTAACCTATCTCGCCTACTAAACAATGCGAATTATCAAAAGATTTCGCTTCGTGTTGAGAAATAAGAGAGAAATATATATTTCCTGCAATTCGGAGAGCAAGGGTTTGCAAGAAACCGAATAATTTTGGACGATTGTATTTTCTATTTTTATTACATTTCGGCCAGTACCATCTCCTGTATTCTTCAGTTTCATTTGTACCACTTAATAGGCATTTTATGCTCTTCTTCTGAACCATACACGTCCAGTGTAATTACATGTCTGGGTTAACTTTTCTCAAGAGGTGCGTCTTATGTAATATATACGGGAGATGAAGAATTGGCGCTCCCAAATTCAGGAATAGAATTTTGTGTTCACTTTTGCAGAAAATGTCATTGGGAATGGTGTGAATCCTTTTTTTTTCTTTCTCATTTATAGGTTAAATAGCAAAACAGATTGAGTTTTCTAGTGATGAGTTGACTTGAAAACGACCCTGAAGAGGGATGGGCTCTCTTAGCCATCTTTACCGTAGACCCATCCTTGCAGTTAGGCCTGCAGTATGTTGCAACTGTAACGGTAATGGGTTTAGCGATTGTGATCATGATTACACTATCTTGTCTAACGATGTAATAGATCAAGTTATCTGTGGTAGATTTACGACCCAAGTCAGTTAAATGACTCGCGTTCAATCGAAGGACGACATTTTGTAGGTTCTGATTGGTGACTTCTTTTCTGGGAAGTCTTCATAGACTCCATTGAAAGAAATGACGTAATCACTTATATTGATAAGGTAATAGACTGGACAGCTTATGATCAAATTTTCAGTGGATTTCCGGAGCTAACGTTCTTGTAATAAGCTTCTTGCTAATTACGTTCACGTATTAAGGAAGGTTTTGTTATTTATATTAAAACGGCTTTGAGATCTTTACGAATTTAAGCGTTCTACTAGGCTGGCATCTCACTGTCGAAACTGTTAAATGTAGACGTCTCTTCTACCTCAATAGCTTCATGATACGCACCTCTCGCTTGTGGAACTCCCTACCCTCTTCCTGTTTCCCTGATAACTATAATCTCCAAATATTCAAATGTAATGTCAATCGACGTCTCAAGATGACCTGATCTATCCCCTATCATTCTCTTCATCCTTTCCTCTATAATTCCTATTTTCTCTCGCTCCAACTCTCTGTAACCCCTTGCGTGCTAGTGGCTTCCCGCCTTGCTTGGGGTGAAACGCTTAAAAACAATAAATAAAAATAAAGTTAAAGTATTCGAGTAAACTTTCGGAATCTCGAAGAATCTTTTACGAAGATTTCTGAAATGTTTCGATTGTTTTTAATGAACTTAGGTGGAACTGAGATTTTGAAAAGCGCCTGGAGAAGAGTCAATTATCAATTTAATATAATAAGCGTTCAGGTCGCTTCAGTACCTCAAAAACCATGCTAATATTTTTCATCATCGCCATCCGGTTCCCGAGTGTTCTCTAGGTTTGAAACTTTTGTCAGTACCTTATATGTATAGTAATGGATTGCGGCTGAAATTGAAGAAGCAGAGACCAGTCTTCAAGTTCCAATTGAGTTCATTAAAT